TGACGCGGGGCTCGAACTCACGGACCGCGAGATCGTGACCTGGCTGAAGTCAGACGCCTAACCGACTGCGCCACCCAGGCGCCCTCCCTCCCACTTTTTCTTACACCCAAGAACACCCAGTCCAGATCTGGGCTCCAAGTGTATGCTCAGCAAATGCAACTTTTGATAAACTGAAGTAGTAGGACAGGATCTAGTAGATAGGGTATTGATTTTAAGTTCCTAAAATAAAGGATTCTTGATTACGAAATTTTGTCTGAGATGTCAGAGTTTGATCTTGCGTACCAGGACACTACAGCGTTTTCCCTCTGCATCATTCAAAGGAGGCACTCTTGCTAGAGTGAGTTTTAGTCTTAAAATGATAAAAATCACGAACATATCAAGTGTTAAATATTCTAAAGAGCATATTTTCAGCTTGCCTTTAAAGTCTGAGCTCTAGAGGGGTGCCTGGGTGGCTCAGTCGGTTGAGTGTCCCACTACGGCTCAGGTCATGACCTTGCAGTCTGTGAGTTCGAGCCCCACGTCGGGCTCTGTGCTGACAGCTCAGAGCCTGGAGCCTGCTTCGGATTCTGTGTCTCCCTCTCTCTCTGCCCCTCCCCCGCTCGTGCTCTGTCTCTCTCTGTCTCTCTCAAAAAATGAATAAACATTAAAAAAAAATTAAAGTCTGAGCTCTAGAAAATGGACTGTGGGGGTTTTTGTTTGTTTTTTTTAAATGTTTCTCCCCTAGTGAGTTTCCTTTGTTCTGTCTGCCAAGTTGGTTTCAAAGAATCCTTCTGGATATCTAGCAGTTAGAACAAATCCTATAGATTACGCAAAGAAATAACTAACTGAAGCAGCAAGGTAGTGTCCTACTTTTCACAGGAATAGAAGACATTCTCTTTTAAAACGGAACTGAAAAAAAAAACCTCAAATAGGTTTCTTCCCGTTTTATTTGTTGATAAATCTATTTTTCATCTTTTTTTAAATTTTTTTAATTTTTATTTTTTCATCTTTTAGTATTGTCTTTACTGCAAACAGCCAGATCTATGACACTAAAATTTAAAAAAAAAAATTATTGAACAGCGTCCTAAGGTATATTCGGTACCTAATCTTAACTGGTTTTGGAAAATCCCTAAAATCAAGCTAAACAAACAACATTCTTGTATCTTCATGGGAGTCTGTATCATGTTACAAAACGTGTGAGGAGCAAAACTTTGCCAAACAAATTAAGGAGTGCAAGAAAAGAAAATTTCATAGTTTGGGTTTACTAAAGTTGTTTAAAGGCAGTCAGTGCCAAAATCAATCCTTAGATTGTAATTCCAAGGAAACTGCTGAGGATTAATTAATAAGAATGTGAGGGGCGCCTGGGTGGCTCAGTCGGTTAAGTGTCCGACTTCAGCTCAGGTCGTGATCTCACAGTTCATGAGTTTGAGTCTGGCATAGGCCTCTGTGCTGATAGCTCAGAGCCTGGAGCCTGCTTCGATTCTGTCTCCCTCTCTCTCTGCCTCCCCCCCCCCCACACTCTGTCTCTTTCTCTCCTTCAAAAATAAACATTTAAAAAGTACAAAAAAATAAATAAGTATATGATCTTCACAGTGGGTGACTGAAAAGCCCCAAACCAGAGTTAAAAGCAGCGTCACTGACAACTTTCAAGAGAGATGTATACAATTAAAATTGACTGTTTTATCAACTACCGTGTAACTTTTCTTTATTGCAAAAGTGATTTGACTCTCCAGGAGTATCACTATTAATAAGTTATGACAGACTGATGTTTGACAAGCAAGCCTAAACAAAACCTCCAATTTGTCTTGCTAAAAATTAACTTGGTGTTATGGAACGGGCAGGACCGAACCAGTCCATCGTGAGGCAAGACAGGCTTTTTGAGACATTTGACACTCTAAATATAGTTCAGCAGATGTGAAGCATTATGCAATTTGGCTAATAAGCTCCGAGCGAGTGGAAAGAAATGGACTGGACAGTACCAGAAGTGACTGAAACACACGGTGACCCAAGGAAGCTTCTGGAAGGAGGTACCTCAAAAGGTGAACAATGGAATGACAGGCAATTCTCAATTTTGGGGGTACATTTTTGTCCTATCTGGAGTTTAAAAGAACATTCTTTTACAATCAGAAAACAACACATGGATTTGCTTTTTGGAAAAAGACAATAAAAATGATGTGAAGTTTGACTTCTCATATCTGAGAAAAGTTTTATAAAAGCATTACAAAAATGGCATAGGACTATCCAGTTTTGTTGCGGCTTAATAAACATTGATGGTCTGTGTTTAGCGTATAGATACATATTCATTTCAAAGGACGGATTAAAGGTACCATAGTCACTGAGAGCAACAGACGTTTTGTCAATATCCCATACAACTGGGATGCTTCAAGATCATTTCCAGACTTATTTTATTACCTAGAAATCCTCTTCCTTATTTTCAAAGCTCTGGGAGAGAATCTCTAAGACCTTCCAGTTGGATTAGCAGGTACCTAAGGGTGAAAATGGAACCAAAATGATTCTTACCTCATGTGGCGCATCAGCATTTGTTGGGCCGTTCAAAGTAATTGGATCACATTCCTCAGCTGGGGGGGGGAAAAGAGACAAAGCTTGATAAAGAAAGGGCACGCTCTGCCGTGTGAGGCCTGCGACTGGGACTCAGTGCTATGTGCTGCTTTGGCATTTGGTAAAGCTGGGAGGACCTCGGTCCTCCTGCCCTCTCTGCTTCTAGGCATAAGGCCCCAGGCTACCTGCCGCTGCCTGCGAGGGCACCAGGTGAGGGCACCAGGCACGGTTCCTACTTACCCCCGAGTACTGAGTTTCAGTTCCCCGCCAGCCCACTGAATCACTCAGACGAGCCGTCCCTGGGGACCCAGGGACGCTGCCTCCTCTTGCCACTACTACCCTTACCACCTACAGCTGCTGGTGGCTGGTGCCCTCTGTTCCCGCGGGCAGCCTCGTGGGATGTGACCCTGCGTGGCTTGAGGTGTCCCCCTCCCCCAGGCTGTGAGCACAAGTGACTCATGTCAACCTCATCTGTCCAGTGTCAGGCATGTAACCCCTGGGCAGGATCCCTCCCGCACTGCTGGGGTGAACAGGAGGGGATCAAAGCAGCTGGCCTCGTGAACTGCATGGCCCAACCGCTATGGAAGACACTTTGTCAGATGTAACTAACTTCCCCGCCACAGTTTAGGCTGCCTGGGGCTGGCCGACTTGCACTCTGGCCTACGCAGCACTGCGTGTCGTCTTTGTTCGGTGTTTGTCCTCTCCTCCCACCTAAAATGTCCCCGTCCCCAAGGTGAAAACTGTTATTGACTATGCCCCAGTGTGATGTGCTGTTGGGTTCGACTGATGTCTGGTGGGTCAGCTCTGAGCATCCCATCCATAAGCCAGTGTGCCTGGGCCCCGCGCAGCCGCTTACAGCAGCCAAAGGACCGATCCTGCAGTCATGGGCCCGCTGGTCCATACCAGACCCATAAGCAATACGACCTTCCTGGAGGTGGACGCAACCCCAAGCAGGTTGACTGGCATTTCCTGGAGGAAGAGATGGCTCCCTACGAGGTGGGCCGTCAGCCTCCCAAGCCTCTCCCCGTCAACACTCAGAAAGTCTGCACCATGAACGATCAGGGACAGAAAGTGAGTGCTGACCCTTTATACAGGTAGAAGTAGAAATACTCCCAGGGAATCTGGGAGAAAGCCCCAAAAAACAAAGAAAAGGCAGGGCCATAGCAGAGCTCAGTTCCAGCCCATTGCCTGCTGGGCTGCTCGGCCACCTCTGCCTGGCTGCAAGGAACATCCTGATCCTCGGAGTTCTCGGGGAAACCCGTGGTACCCCTGGGGCACGGCACGGGGTTAGTTCGACCCTGATGCAAGCCCGGGGTCGTGAAACATATGAAAGCAACCGCTGCCCAGGGAAGGCCCCAACCCCGTGGTACTGATTTGAGGCTCTGTGGAGGCGGAAATGCAGAAATACGAGCGGGGTGGAGGATTCCCCCACCTACCTGCACCCAGAGTTTATCCAGTGACGCAAAAAAGAAAAGGGGACGGGAAATGAAAGAAAGAAACTGGACCGAAAATGGAAAGAAACTGGACACCGGGGAGGAGATGAAAGGAAAAAAAGGACTGTAAGCAGAGGTCCACAGTTTGACCCAATGGGAAATCCAACATTTACTGAAATAATTTACATAGCAAACCAGTAAACGAGTGCTGGATACCCCTGTGCCTGACAACGTCAGTTCTGAATCAGCTTTAGTACCTGCTGAAATGCACCAACCGGCAAACCCTCAGGGACTTAATCAGTCCCGGGGCTCCAATTACAGTTACACCTGGAGATGCCACTAAATGTAAACACGAGGTCCCCACGTAACCCTAGAGAGTTCTGGAACGTGAAACAGAAGACAAATAGGCATGATTCATCCTTACCAAAAGAACTATTGTTTTGCCTCATTTTCCCATGGTCACAGCACCCAATGCCTTAGATTATCCCATGTGGGCATGGCGGCTCTGACTCAACAATTACTATTAAATTAAATCTTTACAGTTAGAAGTTGATTTGAACGAAATGGGACCCTACAGACCTCTCAGTGCAAGCACCTAATACGGCCCGATGTAAATTAAACAGGACCTTCAAAGATCAAAACTTACTATGTAAGACCTGATTTGAGTGAAGGGTGGATTAACTGCTGCCTCTCCAATTAACAGCTGAATTTGGCCTGTTCTTAAACCCGAAAGGCAATGAACAGTGTCTCACAGGACATTACTGCGGCCTTAATGTGGTGGCCCCATCCATTAAGGCGCCAGACCCAATGCCCAGTATTTTTTAAATTACTGACTCCATCCCATCAGCCACTAATAAATATCTGGCTATCACCAATTGGGCTAATACGTTCTGCTCAGTGTCTATTTGAGCAACCTCTCAGGTGCCATGTGCCTTCATCGCCAAAGGCAGTTGTACATGGTGACCGGGCTCCGTATGGGGGACCTAACAGCGTTGCCCTAGCACACGGTCTTTGCAGGCAAGATCTTAACTGCACCCAACCTTCTCCAGGATCGTGGGTATGCCAACATGGATGACATCCTCCTCCAAGGATATCCATTTGACATTCATCCAAGCCATACAACATCCATAAAAGAGCTCACAGAAAGGGAACAGGACACTGACCCCCACACAGTGTGCGGCCCTACCACCTTGGTTAAATTCCTGAGAATCTGTTGGTAAGTTAAGGGCTGCTCCATCTCTGACATGGTCAATAAAGAGTTAAAAAAAATAGGGGAGCCTGGGTGGCTCAGTCTGTTGAGCGTCTGACTTCAGCTCATGTCATGATCTCACGGTTCATGAGCTCAAGCCCTATGTCCGGCTCTGTGCAGACAGCTCAGAGCCTGGAGTTGCTGCAGACTCTGTGTCTCCCTCTCTCTCTGCTCCTACCTCATTCATGCTCTGTCTCTGTCTCTCAAAAATAAATAAATGCTAAAGAAAAACTTTTTTAAGTGTTATGAAAATAAAAAAAAAACAAAAACAAAACATTAAGGGACACCTGGGTGGCTCAGCTGGTTGAACCTCTGACTCTGGATTTTGGCTCAGGTCATGGTCCCAGGGTCATAGGATCTAGCCCTTCGTCAGGCTCTGTGCTGAGTGTGGAGCCTGCTTGGGACACTCTCATTCTTTCCCTCTCGCCACCCCGCCCATCCCCTGCTCGTGCTCTCTCTCTCTGAAATAAAATAAAAAATAAAAAACAAAGAGTTATGGACCCTCTCAGTACTTACCACAAGTTAATACAAGTCCAACATCTTCTAGTTTGGGGGGAGTTGTGGAGGCAATGTATTCCTCATTTCCATAGTTTATTTGTTCCCACTGACACGCTTACTTGTAAAGTGCTTCACTGTAAATCTGGCTCCCTCTAACAAAAGCCTACAACACGCATTCTCTGAGACCCCTTCACCATAAGGGTTTAAACAACCTCCTCATATTCTTCCTGAAGTCTCTGGACCACCCATGACTGCCATATGCTGTCTACGTGCTTCTGATGCATGAAACTGCCCTGCTAGACCCTTCTCTCCATACACCACTAGGGCAGCGACTGCTGGCTGCACACTGGGCTCTTCTGGAAACAAGAGGCTCTCCCTGACCCTGCACCTGTGAGCCTTCATACCCTGCTGCCTATTATGCCTTGAGTCACAGAAGCAGCTCCGTACAAGCTCGACATGGCTACTGAGACTTTACTGCTACTGAGTGGAGACAAACGTGGGCCTTCTGGCATGTTCCACCCATAGGAGGGCATGGTCTCCACTATCCTCAGGCTCTTGCCAGATGCCATGGTGCTGGAAGAAGTCACCCTTCTGACATTCCTGGTTACCTGGGGAGCCCCTTCAGATCAACTGAGCGAACAACAGTGGGAATTTGTAGATTTTACAGGTGATATCACCACCATCATACGTGATGGAGTTCATGGATAGTTATGCTTTCTAGCCCTCAGTCAACACGTCCCTGATAAATGACTGCCAAACTTCAGGTGGTCATCTTAGTGCTGGATGCCCTGGCCAACAAGTGGCCCCATAGGCACTTTTTTTTTTTAAATACAAACTCTTGGACCACTGCCCAAGACTTGCCCACTCTGGGACAGAACTCTGGGAATCTCTTGCCTCACATATGAAGAGAATGTAAATCAAGGTAACAGATATCTCTGCACATAGTAAGGCCACAATGTAAGGCCTCACTAGAATATTCTCTATCCCCTTTGGAGTTCCAGACGTTACTGCTAGTGACCAAGACATTCATTTCACTTCTCAGAACACAATGCCCGGCTCTAAAAGAAGCCACTCAACCGAATTTCCATCTACTCTCTAGGCAACAGGTTAAATCGAAAGGGAGGGTGAGCTCCTCACAGAATTCCTATTTTATAGAACAAATAGAGCTCTTGCCCTGGGTCACTATTGCCACAGGCATTGGTTATCTAAAAAAAATTTTTTTTAAATGTTCATTTATTTTTGAGAGAGAGACAGAGACCAAGTGGGGAAGGGACAGACAGGGAGGGAGACACAGAATCCGAAGCAGCTCCAGGCTCCGAGCTGTCAGCACAGAGCCTGACGCGGGGCTCGAACCCACGAATCGCGAGATCGTGACCTGAGCCGAAGTCGGACGCTTAACCGACTGTGCCACCCAGGCGCCCCGGCATTGGTTATCTAAATTCATGCCCTCACTATACCAGTGCCATACCACATGGCCCGCCCTCTCCTGGTCCAGTGTCTGGTGTGCTTTTTAGGGAGGCCCTTCCCTACCCTCTAAGTCCCAATCATCACTAAGATTTAAATTGAAGTCAAGGTTATCACGGAGTCAATTGTGGTATAAGATCTAAGACGAAGACTCAATACTAGCACTGCCTTGACATCTGGTAAAAATCAGGAGGGCCTCGAATGGCCGAGGTGCAAAGCTTTCCGCACGCTGCCCCGTGATCGGCCCCTGAGCCGAGCACCAGGCACGGTTCCTACTTACCCCCGAGTACTGAGTTTCAGTTCCCCGCCAGCCCGCTGAATTACTCAGATGAGCCGATCACATCCTCCCTGGGGAACCAGGGACGCTACCGCCTCT